GGGTGGACGATCCTGAGGCCAGGATGGGCGGGACGTCCGACGTGACAGCACGGTTCAGAATCGAGCCGTCAAGTTCTGGGGTGAGGGACCAGGTGTCCCGCATCTCGGCTGCAAGTTTGGACCGCTGCCTCAGAAKAGCGTCCAAATTTGTAAGTGACCCGGGGTCTGTCCTGCAGAGGACCATCGACTACGCCGCTGAGGTAAGATTGGTGTCTTCATTTTTGCTTAATTTACCTAACAGATAGCTCGGTCTAACTTTCTTCTTTGTACTTTTTCTCAGGCGTTTGTTGCTTCCATTCAATCGGCTCTGGCCGTGAAGGTCGAGTTGGATGGGAGGGAAGCTCTGGCAGCGAGGGAGAAAGAGGAGTTCTCTGCTGCCTTGGAGGCTGCCTCTTCCACCATGAAGGATGAGCTGCTGAAAGCTCACTCTGAGGTGGAAATTTTGAAGGCTGAGGTGGAAGCCAAGGCCGAGCTACTGAAGAAAGAAGAGGACAGACGCAAGGCCCAGCTCCGAGCTGCCCATGCTATCACCAAGGGCTTGGAGAAGGAGAAGTTCCAACTCCTCAAGGAGAAGGACGACATGCTCCAGGCGCTTGAAGCGAAGGATGAGGAGCTGAAGCATGCGACTGCCGAGCTAGAGACGGCGAAGGAGCGTCTCAGCAATGGAGCCTTATTGAAGGAATCGTTCAGGCAACATCCTGACTTCGATGGATTTGCCAAAGACTTCTCTGACGCGGGCTTCAAGTTTCTCATGAAGGGCATTGCTTCCGACATGCCTGACCTTCAGATCGATCTCGGTGGTCTGAAGAAGAGGTATGCYGAGCAGTGGGCGTCTGGGCCTAGCAGCACCCCTGGCCCCCAAGCGTTGGTGGATAAGTATGTCAGAGATCTGGACTCTGACTACTCCGATCTCGAAGAGGACCAGGTCGGCACCACTCAGGAGGGCGCTCCTCAAGCAGGCTCTTAGGCGACCACCCTTCAAGAGGCTTTTCGCTGTCCTTCTTCTCTTCTCTTTTTTGTTTGTAAGTGTCAGGGCAGATCTGCAAGGTCTATAAGCCTTGGCTCTGCTCTCCATTTAATGAAGAAGCTTTGTTCGTTTTTACTTCGGTGTTGGCAACATCTTTCCTTTCTTTGCTTTTTCTTTGAACTGTAGCCAATGTCACCTCGCACCTCTTACTTTTGAGGTCGCGCCTTTAATTAAAATAATTGAGAGTTTGAATTTGAATCTCTGTCTAGTGTTCAATGCATTGCACCAACTCTGGATTTTTTAACATCGCACCCTTAACTTAAAAACGTTAAAAGGCTAAAATCCTAAGTCCGTAGCTGTTCTTCATATCGTACATCGTACCCTCAGGTTCAGAGGCTTGATCATTTTGAACTTTTCACATCGTCCATTTACCTTGAAGGTTTAAATTTTAAGTTCATCAGTGGTTTTGGCATCGCACCTCGTACCCTTAGGTTTTGGAGGATTGAATTGTAACCGACTGCTGGAATGTGATCGTGTGGGAGTCCGTGGCCCCATTTAATTTTTGGTCGAACTCGGAATCATGAAATTAAATCATCACATTTGTTCCGATCACAACCCCATTGAAACAGTTTTTAAAGATCCATTGAAAACCATTTTGGCATTTCAAGGATAATAACGCTTCAGGTGCTCCGCGTTCCATGGGTGCGCGAGGACGTCTCCTTTCAGATCGGCCAATATGTCGTCCCAGGTCGGACTATTCCCTTGACCTCAAACGACCCCTCCCAGGTCGGGTCAAGGGCACCCACATGGGTTTGGACCTTCCTTAAGACCAGATGTCTGATTTGGAAGGTCCGAGGTCGAACACGGGCGTTGTAGTGTCTGGCCATTCTGCCCTGATATTCCGCCAGGCGTAGCTRGGCCATTGCTCTTCTTTCTTCCAACAAGTCGAGGTTGAGGAGCAGCTCTTCCTCATTTGCTGTAGGCTCGTAATGTTCTACTCTGTCAGATGGCATGCCGATCTCAACCGGGACTACAGCTTCGGAGCCGAAGGCCAGGGAGAACGGGGTCTCACCCGTCGATTCTCTTTGGGTGGTCTGGTACGACCATAGAACCTCTGGTAGCTCGGTGGCCCACCTGCCTTTCTTGGAGTCCAGTCTAAGTTTGATGCCTCGCTTGAT